GTGTAAGGGTAGAGACTGAGGGGGGGGGGGGGGGAGATTCTTGAAATGAAAATAATGTAAATGGGCTGATGGATTTTGGCTACAATGACACATACTTTTGGATTTGAATATTTGGATGTTGAAATGACAAAACATATCCAAACCAAAAGGCCTGCAACGCGTCAGTGGCATAATCTCCGAGATAATTGCCTGCTGGGGCTGTATTGTGCCGTTGCAGTATCTACTGGCAGGTGCTTCACATGTTTCCACACAGTTAAATCTAAATTATGGCAGAAACATCACGGAACATCTATCCAACTCACACAGCAAATGTAAAAAAACTTTCCTAGATACAATTTTACAATGAAGTTGTTAAGTACCTCTCTTAAGAAGGAAGGCCATGTAAGAGATCAAAGTTAAAAAAAATGGAAGTACTGGAAAAGGTATACCAAGACTGTAGTGACAGAAAATTTATTCCATTTCAGTGTAAGATTAGAGGCCGTACAGGTTGAAATGTCAAGTCTAGGAAAATATGATTTGGTTTCTTTATTTTAAGGTTGGTAATGCTTGACCACTCATGGTCTTTAATGAATGTTGGAGTGATGGGTGAGGCTACAATGGTAGGTAATAAGTACCATTGATAGACTTCAACTAGACTTCAGCACTCCACAAAAATAATGCAATGGCTACATTTTAGTTGTGATCAATGAAAAAAACTTTGGTACCTGAAGACCAGAAGATCTACACTGTTTTGGATATTTTTAGTGTTGTTTCAGAGGAGAACTGTGTGCTGGCAAGGCTTGGATCTCTTCCAGGCATATTATTTAGATACTGTGGTAAGAAAAATAATTGGTAGTAGGGAGGTAGGCGTGGTCTATTGAGAAAGAGTCAATTTGTCTTTTGTCAAGGATGACGTGTCTCACAAATCTGTTGGAGTTCTTTGAAGGTTGTGATTATCCAAATATGGAAGCGTGTTGTTATTTCCAGAGGCTTTTGATGAGTTCCTTAAACAGTCTCCGGGTGTGAATTTGTGAAAATCACAGAATATAATGAAAACTAGAATTTTGCTAATAAGATTTTGAATATCTGAACCATAAGCATTTAAACCTGGTCTGCAAAATTATGGGTACACCGTGTTGCTTGGTCAGAAATTTATGACAAAAATGACTTTTCTCACTGCTACATATTGTACATCCTGGGCCTGCTATCAGACCAGAAATGTGGCAATAGTAATTTGCTAATACCTTTGTCTGATAGTACCGTGCAGGAAGAGAATAATAGTTTGAGATTAGTCTGCCAAATAATGTATTGTTTTACAATATTTGACTATGGATCCTATACAGATGTTATTTACTCTATTATAAAGTTTCTTCAACTCCAGGTGTTTCTCCTACTAATACATTCCTGCCAATGTAAATATTGAGAAGCCCTGTAATCCTTCTTGTTATTACAAACTACTGCAACATGGTTTTTCTGAGAACTGATCCTTTTTCTGTCAAAACACTGGCAGTTCCTGCTTCCTTTAAGTGTCTGTGCTTGAGGTCAGTGACTGATAATTCTATGTTTCATCACACTGAAGCTCTTCAGTTTTGTTGGTGGCTAGAATTGTGTGTATGTATAGGTATGTGTATATATGTATCTGTATATATGTGTACCCATATCTATGTGTATATATATGTACCTAGATGTATACCTAAATATATATTTAAACATACATAAACCCAAAGTAAATAAATGTATTATATATGTAAAATATATTAAAAAAAGTACTTTGGGTAAAATATTATGCATAGGAATGTAAGGAAATTACTAAATGGTGATACAGTTTGTACAAGGCTATAAGTGAAATA